GGACAAACGAATGTCAGTAGAGGGAGCAGAGAGAGAAGAGGGGAGGGGAGGGGAGGGGAGGGGAGGGGGCATAGTAGAGGATAGGAAAGGCAGCAGAATACAACAGACACTAGTATGGCAATATGTAAATCAATGGATGTGTAACTGATGTGATTCTGCAATCTGTATATGGGGTAAAAATGGGAGCTCATAACCCACTTGAATCAAATTGTGAAATATGATATATCAAGAACTATGTAATGTTTTGAACAGCCAACAATAAAAATTTAAAAAAAATAAAATAAAAAAAAAATAAAAAAAATAAAAAAAAAAAAAGCAAATGCTGGTTTTGCATCAAAGACGGAACTAGTAAATCCCACCCCTCAGCCTTGAGTTGGGACCTTGTCCCACACTCCTGGAAAGGCAAGAAGCCTTCCAGGTGCAGGCAGGAGTAGACTGTGTAGGGAAGAGGAAAGGCACAGGGAGAGTGTTTGCAATTCAGGGCTTCCTGGAATGACCTTTACCTTGCATACAGCTGGGTCAGTCTCTCTTTTTTAATTTTAATTTCAATTTCATTTTATTGTGGTAAGACCACTTAGCAGGAGATCTACCCTTTTAATAAATTTTAAATGTACAGTACAGCATTATTAACTTCAAGTATTATATTGTACAGCAGATTTCTAGAACTTATTTGTCATAACTGAAATTTTTATATTCATTGATTAGAAAGTTCTCATTCCCTTTCCCACCAGCCCCTGGCAAACACCATTCTGGGAATTTGACTGTTTTTAAGGACCTCATAAATTTGGACCGGGAGGCATTTGTCTTCTAGTGTGGCTCATTTCATGAACTGTAATGACCCACAGTTCATGCATATTGTGTATGGCAGAATTTTCTTCTTATGTGTCTCTGTCTAAGTTATCTTTGTCCATTTGTCTGCGGGCACTTAGGTGGTTTTCACACCTCAGCTTTTGCAGTGAACACGGAGGGCAGACCCTTCTTCTAGTCCTGATTTCAGTTCTTTGGGATCTATGCCCAGAGGCAGGACTGTTGAATTTCTTTCTGTTATTTTGGAGGTGTATCCAAACTACTTCTCACAGTGGTCACATCAGTTTCCCTCCCACCCACGGTGTGCAAGGATTCCCAATCCACCCTTTCACCTGAAGCTCAGGCCTCTCCACGCCACGTGCCCTTGGAGGGCACCACACCATCCTCCTCTCCTGGCTGTTACGCCCATCAGTGCCTTCTTATTTCTTGGTGTATAATTTAGTCTGCGGTTGGAATCTCATAAATACTTACTTCATGCATAGCTTGGTCCTAAATGCTTTAAATGCTTAATTTCATTTAATCTTAACAACATCCCTATGATAATGTAGGTGCTATCGTAATCTCCATTTTACACAAATGAGTCTTAGTGGAATTTACCTAAGGCCTCTAGCATCTTAACTGGCGCAGGGATTTGAACTGAGCTCTCTCTGCATCCAGACTCTTTGCTTTTATTTTTGTTGATTCTTTATTCTCAAGACAGGGTCTCCTTATGTTGTTCAGGCTGGTCTCAAACTCCTGGGCTTAAGCGATCTTCCATCTCAACCTCCTGAATGCTGAGTCTGTAGATGTGCGCCATGGTGCCTGCCCTCTTGATTTTCACATACTTGTCTCTGCAACTCCCCAAGGGCTGGGAGTATGCCTTTTACCTTGCTGTATCCCCTACAGTGCCGGGGCACTGCCTGGGTGCTCAAGAAGTACCTGTTTTTGTTTGAGAAACAAAACTGGGTTATTATTCCTGGGCATCTGACTATGGCGGTGCATACAAAGTTTCAAAAATACATTAATCGTATGAATGCTGCTGACGTTTTGTTTTGAGATGGGATCCTGCTAAGTTGCCCAGGCTGGCCTCAAAGTGGTAATCCCCCTGCCTCAGCCTCGTGGGTAGCTGGGATTACAGTGCTCAGTCTGCTACTATTAATGATGATAACAACTAACATGTGTGTCTCCTTATAAAGCATACATCTTTATGCTTACAGAGGTAAGCGGCAAAATCAGAAATCTCGAATGCTTCAGATTCTGAAACATTTTGAGCATGAACATGATGGATACCACAAGTGGAAAAGTCCACGTTGAAACTTGTTTTGTGCACAAAATTATTAAAATACTGTATAAAATCACCTTCTGGTATTTGCACAGGGTGTATATGTGCACCATATATACAACTATATATATGAGGGTAAATGAAACCTAAGTGAATTTCATGTGTGTATTTACTTGGGTCCCACCCTAAGACATTGCATGTATGTGCAAATATTCTGCCCCCCCCCCAAAAAAAAATCTGAAATCCCAAACACTTCTGGTCCCAGCATTTGGATAAGAGATATTCAACCTATCTTTATACATATGTGATATATATATTTCTTCTTATAAAATGTTCTTGTGCAGTTACTTAATTAGATTCCATGAGATTACAAAAGCACATCTGTTAGTGGGATATGTACTATCTTGGTCCCTATTTTTATGATGGAGGAAGGAGATTCAAAGAGGTCACTGTGTTGCCCCAAATCCTTCAGTTGGGAGAGAAAGAAACTCCACAGGGGATGTGGGACCCTGGGGTTCACCTTCGAATGATAAAAGGCCCTTCCTGAAGTTCATTGTCATGGGCTGTAGGGTGTTGGGGTGCTATTTCGTTAAATGAAAGGAGAAAAATGAGGACATGACCAAGTCAGTTAAATTGAGGGGAAGCAGGTCAGTTGGGGCGCTCTTTTTCTCTGGGCACCGGCTAGGGTGTGGCAGGCTGGTCTGAGGTGCAGCCCTCCCTGAGGATCTGTCCAGCTGTGCTCTAGAGAGCGCTGGGCCCGGGGCAGGGGGAGGTTTCTTGTTCCCGCTTGCTGGTGCCTATTCTGAGGCCCTGCTCCTGCTGGGACACCCACCCTCCTTTCCAATTTCTGCTGCCCACGTCCTGCTCACCTTTGTAAGGTCCACTTCGGGAGCTCTGTCCTCCTGACCCACTGCACAGGTGCTGCTGATATCGTGAACCTGCCTTCGTCACTGTGCCTCCTGAGCTGCCCTGTCGTCCTGTGCAGTGGCCCCTTATCCATGGTTTCACTTTATTGGTTGTTTCCCTGGTACTAGGGATCGAACTCCAGTGGTTTCACTTCATTCCATGTGATATGCACAATCAACCTTGGCCTGAGAGCACTAAATGGAAAATTCCTATTTGGAGAGAAGAGAGGGGGAGGGCATTCACATAGCTGTTAGTATATTGTTAGAGTTGTCCTATTTTATCATTAGTCATTATTAATCTCTGACTGGGCCTAATTCACATACTAAGCTTAGCCACAGCTGGGTATGTATGGGGAAAACCACAGTAAACATGGGGGTACACGATGCTGAGGACAATCAGAGCTGTCCTGTGGCTGTCTTCCTGAAGTTCAGTCTTCCTTGGAAGAATTTATCGATTTTCTTTGGCCTCCACACTCTCTTGGATGTTTATGACTCTGTAATTCATAGCTCTGACCCTTGTCCTTCTCAGCTTGGGGCAGCCATTTCCAGTCCCTTGCCGGACACTGTGGGTGTCTCAGGGCCTCTTCACAGCTCACATACCAAAGCAGCAGCCTGTGCTTCCAGAAGGTGCTCCTCCCCCGCCCCCACCTTTCATTTTTTGCCTTGCTGGGGTAGAACCCAGGGCCCTGCTCACGCTAGGCAGGTGATCTACCTCTGAGCCACACCCTCAGTCCTTCTTTTGCATTTTCCATTTTGCTCACTGGTAACTCTGGTCCTATAGGTCATGACCTTGGCATTGTTCTCTGCCCTTTCGCTGAACTACCGGATCCCTTGCAAGTGCAGATGACGGTCACTTCCGAGGGCTCTGAGAGTCTTGCCTCCTTCCATCTTCTCGCTGTTGTTTTCATGTATTTATTAATTCATGCATCGACTGTTTATTGAGTACCCTGTGTGTGCCAGGCACTCTCCCAGGCACTTGGAACACAGTAGCAAGCAACCACAGGCTAATGACAGGTGCTTACAGAGCTTACTTTCCAAGTGCAAGGGGACCACACGATAAACCATTTAATAAATAGGCAAGTCACTTTGCAAGTTAGATGGTGAGTTCTATAGAAGTAAGCAGGGGATCAAGAGAGCCAACCATGGAGTTCAGGGTTGCAGCTCTGAGTTGGATCGTCGGCATGGGTCTCCTGGGGACCTCAGAGGAGAAGGAAGTGAGATTGTGAGCTAAGTAGATCTTTTTGGAAGACTGGTCCAGGCAGAGGGAATAGCTAGAGCAAAGGCCCTGTGGCAGCCTGGGAGCATGTTTGATATTGTTGGGAGCAGCAGGGGGACCAATATGGAAGGAGCTTGTGGGGAGTGGTAGGACAAGAATCAGAGAAGAAAGGAGATCCCAACCACGCAGACCAGCAGGGCGGCCCTGTCATTCACTCCAGGAGAAATGGCTGTGGCAGAGAATGGCCAAGCAGAGGGTGTCCAGGAATTATCCTAATTGAACTGGAAGGCTCATCTGGCTGCCCTGCTGAGAAGAAACCAAGTGGCAGGTGGCAGGGGTAGAAGTCCAGCAGTCTATGCCTGGACCATGCGGTGACTTTGAACGGGTCACCCCACTGACTTCCCATCTCTGGGTTCTTCTCTCTGTCATGGTCACACCTCCAAAATGCTCTCTGGCATTGGCTGCTTGATAAAACCCACACCTGGGGGTGGCATGCGAGGCCACTATGATCTGCCCTCTCTCTGTTCTCTGTCCCTCTTGCTCCGTGGGACAGTGTCATCCTCCATGCCCTCACAGTGACGTTCTCTCACCTGCTCTTAAAAGCCTCCCTGAATCTCCATGTCAGGAGGAATCTCTCCGGGCCTCCCAGCCGGGGAGGTGTCTGTGTCTGTGGGTGGTGGCACCAAAGCTGTCCAATGCCCTCAAGGTTCCTGTGCCAGATGGGACGCCCCAGTGTCCTCCTTTGTATCTTTGGATCCTACTCAATGCCATGAAAAGCCTCTGAAATGACTTCTCTTGCTCTGTCTTGCAGATTGAAGCGCTTGTGAAGGACATGCAGAACCCAGAGACGGGGGTCAAGATGCAGAACCAGAGGGTCCTGGTCACCAGTGTCCCTCACGCCATGACAGGTGATGTAACTCATGGCCTAATCTTGGCCTGGAACAGATCCCCACAAAGGGGTTGTCAAACTTGGTCACACAGGCCCAATGGGGCCCACAGTTGTATTTGTAAATAAAGTTTTATTGAAACGCATCCATGTCCATGCACCTACGCATTGTCTACAGCCACTTTCACACCATACTGGGGGAGTTGGAATATCCACCATGCAGAGGCTGCGTCAGGAGCCACAGAGCTGAAATATTTACTTGCTCATCCTTTACAGAATAGGTTTTCTGATTCCTATAGTACAGTTTTCCTCTGCAGAAGGGTTAGAAAAGAAAGAGAAAAGGACTCAGGGGGTCACTTGAAGCCATTTCTCCCAGAAGGTCATCACAGAAGGCCTCATGTCAGGTTTGTGTTTGCTTGCTGTTTGTTTTATTTTAATGAAATCAGCAGGAAAACAAAGTGCTGTTTGGCAGAAAAAAAAACAATGGCTTTTGTCTTGCTCCACCCTTCCCTACCTTCTAATTCACACCTGGGCCTTCTGAGGTCCCCACAGGGATGGAGCTGCTGTTTCCTCCTTGTGTGTGAGTCCAAGGGCCTGCAGAGCATCACTAGGGGATATTGGCAGGAGGGAGGGTAGTGTTATCTGGAGATGAGCCCAGGGAACATGTGAGTGGACCCCAGGGGCCTCCCCGGAGCGCTCCAGTAAAGTCTCTTCCCTGCTTCGGAAGACAGAAGTGTCATTTATGACTGTCCAGCCACGAGGAGGCAAGCAAAGGGGTCTTGAGTTCTGGCTCTCTTCTTTGATGTGTTTTATGCCAGTTCCCCTGCAGGCAGGGACCCTACGTGGTCCTTGGAAAGCGAGGAAGTTGGTCGGAAAAAGTGGCCATTGGCATTGAAGAGGACTTCTGAGTGAGCTCCCAGAGCACCTTGCCTTCCGGGATGCCGCTGCCCTCCTACAGGGAGCGCTTCTGTGGGGTCCCGTTGGTGGAACTTGGCTGCTTGCCTCGGCCTTAGATAAATCTGAGCCCTTGGTGTGCAAGGAGAGTCCTCTCTGGACTCTCCCCTGCCGGCCTCTCCTGCCTCACCCCATGCCCATCTTCACTCTGTGATTTTCCCGACCAGCCTCTAAGACTTGCAGGGCCTCCTGCAAGAGCACAAGTGAAGCCCCACTCCACGGTCCAAAGATAGAAATCAACCTGAAACCCGTTACTCAAATAGGTACCCTCCTCCCACCCTAATAAAACACCTTCACGATAACCTGAAGGCCGGGTTGGAATTTAGCTTTCTGCCTTTTGGGCCTTCTGCCTGGGAGACGGGGTGTGGGGGAGCCAGCAGGGCCTTCAGCCCCCTCTTCTCTTCCCATCTTTGGTTCTGTTTTACTTCCATGTGTCTCAGCTCTATCTAGAGCCCCTCAACAGCTGGCCTTGGGTCTGTTTTCCCAGTGTTTAGTCTTAGTTTCTTTGCTGTCTGGCTGATGAACGGAGGTCCAAGCACAAGTTTTTGTAAGGTAAAAGATAAGCACAACAACAGAGCTTGATAGTGAGTATGTGAAGGTCGGGTTACGCTCCAGGTCTGCTGACTTGCAGGCTTCAGAGTTGCACTGGACATACAAGTGGGAGGTGGTGGTGGGGATGATCACAGCCGAGCCGGGAGGGACTGGCCAGGTGACCTCACAGAAGAGGTCATGGCTGTCCAAGGATAGGTCAGGATGCTGTGACAATGACCAGATACTTCTCTGCTTTGCAGGAGGCGATGTTCTACAATGGATCATCCAGCGTCTCTGGATCTCCAACCTGGGTGAGGGTCCGTCCTGCATGGGCAGTTATGGCAGACTTGCGGTGCCCACTGCACCACACAAGAAATGAAATGGAGGCTTTGCCTATCTCTAAGAAACCTGCTGGACTTGGTAGTACATGTCTGCAATCCCAGCGGCCCCTGGAGGCTGAGGCAGGAGGATTGCGAGTTCAGAGGCAGCCTCAGCAACTCAGTGAGGCCCTAAGCAACTTAGAGAGATCCTGTCTCAATCAATCAATCAATCAATCAATCAATAAAAGGGCTGGGGGGTATGGCTCAGTGGTTAAACACCTGTAGGTTCAATCCCTTGTAAAATTGGAGAGACATCACTTCCATGCATAAAATAATCAGAAGCAAAAGCATGATAATTTAGGGACAAAATAGTTATTATTACATACAAAATATCGAGAGTGTGTAAATAGTGGGAAGCTGGAAAGACCTAGAAAGGCTTCCCAGAATAGGTGCTGCATGCCCCTGCTCTGGAAAGAAGTGATGCTCCTGAATGGGGGAAGGAGAGTTAAGAAGGTCTTTCCGGAAGGAGAGACTAGCAGGAGCAGTGATGTCAGAATGGAATGAACAGGAAATGGAGGGGTCATGTGGGGGATTGGGAGGAGTGACATCAGCTTACTCTGGAGGGTGGTGACAGGGTGGGAGTCCACTTAGCAGGTTGACAGATTCCGCCTTATCTGGAGATAAGTGAGAGGAAGCCACTGGCAGCATTTGAACCTGGCACCCTGATCAGGGTACTCAAGCTGGGATGTTGGAGCAGAAAGAATCTGGGGACCAGACTTCACCCTAGAAAAAAGGCTGTTGATAAATGAAGGCATGAAAACCGAGGGTCTGGTGTGTGTGGGAAGGAGTGGGACTTGCAGGGCGGGGTCTGGGGAACAAGTCATCCCAAACCTTCAATGATGATACGGCTGCAGGTTGGGGCCCTGGGCAGGGTGGGCCTGCAGGCTGAGGGATGCATCCCTCTCTTGAGCACGAAAAGCTACCTGCTTCCACTGGTGTTTCTGAAAAAGAACAGGAAAGTTTTCCCCTAATTGATGCAAATCCAGAAACAAGCCCTTGCTTCCAAAACAACTGAGGTGGGGTGGGAATTAAAGTGAGGCGGGTAGGAGTGGAAAGATCTGGACCCATGGTGCAGGTGAGTTGCACTTGACAGTAAACATGGCCTCCTTCCTGTTTCCTCTTTGGTTGAGGAAGTGTCCGTTGGTTAAGCAGAGACGTTTGCAACCATTCATGTGATCTTTTCTAGATCCAAAGAACCTAGATCCAAAGAATCAGGGCTTCCCCAGCCATCACCCCCAAGTCACCTGCAGTAGGCCACCTGCAGTACCAGTTGACATCTAGGTTCACTACTTCCCATCCAGACTTACTGAGTTGTCCTGGGAACAGGACCTGGGGGTCCTCTTGGCATGCTCCCCGGCTGGTGCTTGTCCATAGTCAAGTTCAGGAACCTCCACCCCACTCCTTAGGTGCTGCTGTGTGAGGACAGGGCACTCTCGTGGAATTTGGTGGGTGAGGGAGTGGGGCAACGAGCTTCTTCCTTCAGCCCCTGCTCCTGACATCATGTCTGAACTGCTTCTCCCCAGAGGCGCAGAACTTGGGTAACTTCATTGTCAAGTATGGCTACATTTACCCCCTTCAAGACCCCAAGAATCTCATTCTCAAGCCTGATAGCAGTCTCTACAGATTTCAGGTGAGACTTGGCCTTGACCTTGAGTGTTCATGGGGCTGAACTTATTTGAAAGATAATGGTTGGCCTCATGTCCTCACAGTCAGGAGTGCAGAAGTGGTGGAGAGGGATAAGGTGATTTTGTCTGAACCCAGTGGGTGAAGCATGGTTTCTCTGCCTTTATTTTTTTTGTAGACGCCATATTTTTGGCCCACACAGCAGTGGCCCGCTGAAGATACAGATTATGGTAAATACTTCATCCCCACCTCTGCCTTGGGGTGTGCTTGACACGTTGCTTATTTATTTTCAGCATTCTGTGACATTTGTCTTGTTGTCATCACGACCTTTAAGTCATCTGTATTGGGACCCCCAGGGGCAGGGACCCAGTGGGCTGAGCACTCTCCAGCACTCTGACCTCAGCACAGCAGCCTCCTGAAGAGAGAGGCGGCCAAGGGAGTTCTGAAATATGATGATGATGGAAAATGTCATTGTTTTCTTTTCTAGCCATCTATCTAGCCAAGAGAAATATCAAGAAGAAAGGAATTTTAGAAGAATATGAAAAGGTACAGAAATGTTTTCAAGTAGAGTTCATTATGATTGAGTGGAATATCATTGTAAGATTTTTCTTCCTCTTCCCCACATTACTACATTCATCTGTACCCTCACGAGCCATCCATCCACCCATCTATCTATCTACCCACCCACCCACCCATCCATCCATCCACCCATCTATCTATCCACCTACCCACCCATCTATCCATCCATCTATTCCCCCACCCCACCCATCCATTTATCCACCCACCCATGCATCCATTCATCCACCTTCCCATCCAGCCATCTACACTCCCCACCCATCCACCCACCCTTCTACTCACCCATCCATTCAATCACCCATCCACCTACCTGTTCACTTCCCACCCTCCCACCCATCCATCCAATTCATCCATCTATCTATTTGTATAGAAGCAGCTCACTGAAGTAAAGTTTTCCCATATCAAGCTTTAATTTCTTCTCTATAATTTAGGGCCTTGCCTCAATGTCCATTAGGCATGCAGAGACTACCCCCTTCATTTTGCTTTGTCCTGAGACAATATGACTTAATTAATTATATATAACAATTGACAGCCCTTGATTAGGGAATCTGAACCTGAGTTTATGACGTGAAAACAGTAGTATAAGCTTCTCAGGACAGGCGAGTCAGATTTCCCCCAGAACACACCCTAGTCCTGAAAAGGCTAACAATCTTGCTGTGTTATAATTCTTTAGAAATATATATATTAAGGGCCAACATCATATCAATGATAAGGCTTATCTTTGTGGATATTTTTTTGATACTCCATTGTTAAATATTGAGTTTCCATATTCTTCTCCATCCCAGTTTTCTCTTTCTAATCAGATTTGGGTCACATTTATTTCAAACAAAACCCAACACAACTGAGAAAAGCAAGGTCATAGTGGAAGCTTTTGAGAATCCCACACAACCCATGAAAGGAGCCTCATTGACGAGCTCGGGCTGAGAGGGCCGGGTCGGGCCAGCAGTTGCAGGGAGCCCGGGTCGTGTCTTCGTGGGTGGAGGGCTCTTTGCCCTGCTTCACGGGCTCACTGTTCTCATTTTGTTTCTTTTCTCTAGGAAAATTACAATTTCTTGAACAAAAAAATCAACTACAAGTGGGACTTTGTCATTATGCAGGCCAAAGAACAGTACAGGTGAGTGAAAGAAGGTCACCTCGGTCCTCTGGTTGTCTCTCCACCCTCCTCTCTTCTTTGTTTCCTTTCATTAAAATAAACCTTTATTGGGCATTTAAGTGCCAAACCCTGGGCTGAGCGTTGGGGGAAAAAGGTAATGGCCTGGTGGGTTGAGAGAACTGGCCATGACATGAAGCTACTGTGACATGAAGGCCACAAGGCAGGAGTTTGCAGAACCAGCTGTAGGAGTGATTGAACCCAGTAGCTCTGCTCACTGAGCTACACCCCCAGCCCTGTTCTCATTCTTGAAACCCAGATGGGATCATGTCATCTGACCTGTCCTCTGAGCTGTTAGAGGGAATGGTGACTTCAAATCTCTCTTCCTCAAACAGGCCTTTCTGATTAGCTGTTACTCAGCTTATGCAACATTTGTTTTATTGCCTCTCATGATTTCCATAGGTCAGAAATTCAGGAAGGACATTACTGGTTTGTTCAGAGCTGGGGTCTAGCTGGCATTCCTTGCTCTTGTTTGATAGCCTCTGGCCTCTCTGTGTGGTCATTTGAGCTTCTCACAGCAAGGCAGCATGGGGGCAGTGGATTGCTTACAGGTGGTGGAAGCTTCCAGAACCTGTAGTCCAGTGAGGAGGGTGGCGGCTGTCCCATCTTTGGTGGTCCAGCCTCAGAAATTACCCAGCACCATGCCTGACCTACTATATTGGTTAGAACCATCACAAAGCCCACCTGGTTTCGAGGGGAGGGAAAATAGACCCTTTTGTCATTGGAAGGAGTATCAAAAAAATTAAAGACATGTTTAGAAAAAATCACCACAGAGACCATCCCTGATTCTACATTGTGTTACCTGAATATTTGTTTCCTTGTAGCATATTATGCAACTTGCAATCTTTATTTCTTTACCATTTGTGTAGTGTTTAGATCAGAAGCTACACAAAAGCTGAGACTTTTGTCTGGCTCACCAGCATTCTCCCAGAGCTTGAAACATAGAGGAAGATCAACAAGTCCATGAATGAATGAATGAATGAATGGGCAAATGCTTTTGCTAAAGAAAAATCACAATTTGACCGAATAAAAGAATTCTGAGTTTACTGCCTCTCTTGGATTCCATCTATCTCCTCCCTCTTCCATGAATATCAATCACAGAGAAGCAGATGAGCAAAGCCAGACAGGACCACGAGTGTGAATTAGAGACGGACTGTTTCTAGGGCCGTCCAGCATCACGGAAACCCCGCCGTGCTGCAGGCTGTGTGTGGCCATCCTCCCGAGGACCCCAGCTAGTTAACCTGGTAGAAAATCCAGTTAGACTGTCAAGGGGAAGTGGGGAGAGACACTGTTTATATTTAATTTCCAGAAGAGGTTGGCAAAACAGCCCGCTGGAGTGGCGCTGCTCACCCATCTGGTCTCTGGATGTTATTGTGTTGTTCACAGAACATTAACGGGGAAATAAATCTGCAGACTCCATGGTGGAGCGGGCCTGTGCGTCATCTCATGTCGCCTGGGAAAACAAGCAGTAATGAATGTGAGCACAGCTCACCGCAGAAATGGGACCGGGTAGGGCCGGTGGCGTGATAATTGGAGCTCCTTTGCTCCTGACAGAGGAAAGCCCAGCGTCGCTACCTCTCCATAATGGGAAAGGAGGGCCCTGAGAGAGGAGAGGGAAATGACCATCCTTTCCCAGGCCCAAGCTGAGTTCAGAAAAGGCCTGAACTCTTTGGAGTGATCAGAAGAACTCATCAGCAGGGAGGAAAGAGGAGTCCTCGAGGCTGCATCTCCCCATCGCAGGAGGCTGACAGCTTGTCCAGATGTTAACTATGTTCTTTACCAAAGCAGGGACCCAGTAATGAAGCCAGGGGGTCCAATGGTGGCCCAGATGGGCATCCCCGCCTGCTCCAGTGTGAAGCCTGTTTGATTCTAGAGCTGGTTATGGCCACACGGTCGACCTCAGCCCAGCCCAGTGCTGTCAGGGAGAGCTGGACCTGGGCCTGACTCTGGGTTCAAGTCCCATTTCTGTTACGTGCTGACAGTGTGGTCCTGGCTGGCCGTTCAACTGCTCTTTGCTTCAGTTCCTTGAATTACGAAGCCAGCAAAGATCACTGAGAGCGTTAACCAGGATCAAACCAGTTAATATGCGTAAAAGAGGTTTGAGTGCCTGAGTGTGAAATTGGCGTTTGTTATTATCGTGGTGCATGCGAATTATTTGCACAGATTGGGTGAGCAGACCAGGACGCCAAGAACACAGACCATCATAGACTAAAAGATGCAAAGGGTTATGGCCCTAATCATGGCTTTTGGTTTCCCAGGGCTGGAAAGGAAAGGAACAAGGCCGACAGGTACGCGCTGGACTGCCAGGAGAAGGCCTACTGGCTGGTGCACCGATGCCCTGTGAGTACCGGTTCCCCCACCTCTTGCCAGGTGCCCCACTCTCTCTCTGCACTCACAGTGCTCATTGCCAGCTCCTCCCACTCTGGAGTTAGAACTGGGTCATCAGGAGGAGCTGCTTAGAGTTGGGTGAGCCTCCAAGCACCACCAGGCTTGGAGAAGACATGCTCTATGTCTGGAGGGTATGAATGTCAGGTAGCAAGGGACGTGGATGAATTTGTCTTTTGTGAGGGCTGGGACATTTTCTTTTTTCGTTTAGGATACCACACCTTGGAAAGGAATATAAGAAGAAAGATGTAGAACACAGGTTTCAAAGCAGAAATATAAAATTCTCTGAGAATGGAAACTCTGCAGAGCCAACGCTGTTCTGTGTGTCTCGTCTCCCTTTCCTCCTGCCTTAGATCCAGGCCCCAGCAACTGAGATGGCAGAAGAGAGGGCATTAGTGTGTGATGAGCTTCTCATGGCTTGAAGCACTTTGCTTTCCTGGCTTGGGAGCGCTTTTGCTTTTCCTGGCTTGGCGGGACAAGCTGTCCATAACCCATGTGACTTGTCCCAGCCCATCTCTGGGAAATGGTCACCTCACCCCCCAGCAGAGAGAAGCAGCCTCTGGCTGCCACCTGCTGGGGTTAATTCCAGTGCCTCAGTGTCCTCCTGGGTCAAGCTCAGGTGCTTCTTCTGGGAGGTGGGAGGTGGGCGATGTGAAAGAGATTCTGGAAACTCAAGAGTTGCAAACAGATGTTCTCCCTCCTCCTCTTTCAGTTTCCTTGCCTGCCGCTAGGTATCAGAAGTTTTTAGAAGCAGAAAGTGAGCTGGGTCAGGTGGGTTGACCAACGGAGCACAGGGTTCTGGAGACCAGGACACCAAGGGCATGCTCCTCACTGGTAGCTTAGGAGTGAGATTGTTGCAATGGAAGATGTGCCACTAGCTTGGCAAGGTGTCCCCCATGTCCAGTGGCACCATGATGGAAGGAGCCCTCCTCTGCGCCAGGTGGAGCATGATTTCCACTGCATATTCAGAGACTTTGTGATGTAAGATTGCCAGTGTGACTGCATTCCTTAAAAAGGGACAGCCTGGCTGTGCATGTGATCTGCCCAGGGTCTCTCTCCTCCCCTCTGTCTCTGTATCCAGAAAATCTGTAGGAAAGAAAGTGAATAACACATCGCCTCCATGAGACAAATGGCCGAGCTGAGCGGTTCCTTGCAGCACAATACAGAAGAACATAAATAGGACAGCATGTTAGATGACTCTCCCCACCACGCCCCCATGTCTACCACCATGACCATAGCCGACCTCCAACTCCATCCCCTCCCCCGCCTTCCCCATTTCCACCACCTTGCTGACTGTCCCCACTTACCTCCCTCAACTCCCCCTCTTTCTCCACCTCACCACCACCATCAGCACAGTTGTCATCGTCATTGATGTCATTATCACAACTGATCTGAGAAAACTCACAGTGTGCTGGGTGCTGTGCTGAGTGTTCTGCATTCGGTCTTCTTTAATCTTTGCAGTAATAATTTCCCTATCTTACTGATGAACAGGCTGAGGCTCAGGGGTGTTGCTAATGTGCCTAGAGCTGCACAGCTTACAAGTGCCAGAGGCTCGGAACCCACACTGCTGACAGGGGATCCTCCCTCTTGGTCTTGGATGCCCCTTTGCCTCTCATGACAATGTCACATGCCATGTTCGTGCGTTTTGGTGTTTCGTAACTTCCTTGGTCATGGGAATACTGCCGGAGTCGCTGCTGCTCCAAGAAGCATGGTGCCTGGGGTCACATAGGCCTGCTTTCTCTTTAATAGACCCAACTTCAGAGTGGGACTCTGATGTACTTGGAGCAGTCCTAAAACACCTAAGATGCAAACTGCTCTTCATACTCTTCATATCTGATCTCCTCCCTCAGTGCTGCTCCCCTCGGTTGAATCTGGACCAGTAGTCAAGGATGTGGCAGGACTGCATCCGGGGCTTCCCTCCTTGACTCTTTTAAAACAGGCTCCACCTCTCATTGGCCTACAGGGAGTGGACAGTTTTCAGTCTGAGGAGCATCTCAGCCCAGAATGGAACAATCCTTCTGAGGAGCCAGGGAGCCTAGAGTCTGTCAAGCCTGTCTCCAGGAGACCCAAACAAGCATCAGTTCAGTGGGACAACAGCCAGTCACAGCAGACTAAGCATTTGGCTCTCTGGAGGGTGAACAGGTTTTCTGTGGACCAACCGTAGCCACCTGTTGTAGAGTGTGACGCGGCTGCAGTCAATGAACTTGTTCATTTGTTCATGAATCTGGGAAGCCCTCATTGGGCCCTGACTCTGTGTGCCAGGAAAGGATTGAGGTGCTGGGCACCCAAGAGCTACATCATCAAGCACCTGCTGTGTACATGCACGCAGCTGTTGGCACAGGTTGTCTCAATCACAACTGGCCGCGGTGCTGTCCAGTGGGAGGTGTCGTTACTCCATTGCTCAGATGAAGAAGTCAAGGCTGAGTTCGGTCTGCTCAGTGCTGGGTGTGTCTCCACCTCTGTGGGATGGCAAAACCCACAGGCTGCTCCCATGCAAGGAGAACCCCACGTGCCCTTCTCTCTCAGCTCAATGAGCTCAAACTCCAAGTTGCCATCACACGGGTGGGTAGCCCCCTTCCAGAGATGAGACCCCAGTGCCCAGCAGGCACAGCCAGTGGTGACTGATTTAAGGGAAGGGGAAGGAAGGTCTGTCGGATGCTCCGTCGGAAACAGCATCCTTGGCAAGAGGCCAGTGGCAGACCTGGGAGACGGTAGTTGAGGAGTCTGATCCTAATTCCCATTCGGAGCCCAAATGCCACCCGTGAGTCAGCATCCTGTTGTAAAGAAAAAACCCTGTTTCTCTTTTGTCTTTGACTTGGATGGAGCAGAGGACGGAGATGGGCATGATGCAGAGAGGAGTGTAAATGGTTCCCGCAGCCAGTCACTCTGAGCCTTCCCTGCATCTTTGTGGTGCCACCTGGGTCTTGAACCTAGTCTGTCACTCAGGACTGGTTTGTGGACAGAGGCTGCTTTCTGGTGGTGTGTGACCTTAATCAAGTGGTCACCTGTGTGAATATCAAGCAAACTGGCCCTTGTTTCAACCACATACCCAGACACTTGCCTTCCAGGGAAGGGGATGTCTGGCTTCCATTTTCCAGTGAGCTAAGTACCCCTTGAGGGAGAAGGCAAAGTAAAGTAAGGCAGCGCCAACATGTTGATGATGACGATGATGAAACATTATGAAGCTATTAACCTGACGTTTTCAAAGGCCGTTCGATGACCTACAAAAATGATCCGGCAGACCATGTTGTATTATAAAAACAACATGGAACACTCCATATACTCTGGTCCTAATCTTTGAGAAATTAGCACATACTTTGTGCATGTCCAGTCTCTGCCAGATGCTTACGAGGCGGTGGGGATATTTGAATTGTGAGCCAGGACAGACACGGCCTGTGACCTCGAGGAACTTACTACAGTCTGGCAGAGAGACAAAGACTAAAACTATTATATAAATGAGTGAGTAATGTACAGAACACCGTGGCAGCTCGTAGGAGGCAGGGGCCCTGCAGCAGATTGGGGTTAGGGAACACCTCTCCGTGGGAGTGACGTTCAAGGCAAGAGAAGCTTGCGGCAGACTTCTCTAATCTTTGAACCTAAAATTCTCTCCCTGTTCCAGCTTCATCCCCTGTTTTATTTTTATTTTTTTGGTACTGAGGATTGAACTCAGGGGCACTCAACCACTGAGCCACACCCCCAGCCCTATTTTGTATTTTATTTAGAGACAGGGTCTCCCTGAGTTGCTTAGTACCTCGCTTTGCTGAGGCTGGCTTTGAACTCACCATCCTCCTGCCTCAGCCTCCCGAGCTGCTAGGACGACAGGTGTGTGTCACCACACCCGGCCCCCTGTTTTATTTTGTTTATTAAATCATTTAGCTTTTCTCTCTCATGCATCAAAATGCTTTCAGAAATACAGTGATGATTAGTGAAGGAGGTGGAAACTGAAGGACACGGTAGAGGGTCACCAAGCAGCACACATCAACTCGGATGCTCACAAAGCGGTTGTCTCAAAATACAAAAGGCCCTTCCTTAATGCCATCCCCAGGCATTTAGCAAATTTTCTTCAAGCCCAAGGGATGTAGCTGGGGCGGCAAACCCCGGTGTTCACAGTTCTGGTTGAAGCAAGGGAAGTTCGCTCACATGTCTGTGGAGTCCTTCGTGCATGTGGCACCAGGGCAGAAGGTGTCTGTGTGCCTCCTTATCTGCAGGCTGCAGGGGCACATCAGTTGTCCTGATTTTCTGACACTGAGTCAGCTCTAATGTATTGAAGAATGAGTGAGTGAGTGAGTGAACGCATGAGCCTCGGAGTCTCCCAAACCAGCAGAGGCAGAAAGGCAGCCCCCTGGGGGGTTTGGGAGCAGGGTCCTGGGTGGGACCACAGCAGGGACATATAAGACTTAGGGGGATGCTGCCCACAGAGAGCCTAAGAAGGCAGGAGCTGGGGCAGCAGGACAGCCAAAGGAAGGCAGCAGGATGTCTAGTAGAACTGGTGAGGGAAGCTGAAGGGGGCTGGTTCTGGATCCGCTGGCTGAGTAAGAAAGTCCAGAGGTGGCAGCAGGTCTGACAGTTCACGGCTGCCCAGCCCAGGCTGTTGAGGGTCACCCAGCAGCACATTCCAGATGAAGGGGGTGATTCCTAGAACTGATTTCAGGCAAGGATGTTTTTTTGGATGGCCACACTCTCCACTTTTCCTCTCCGCGCTACGCTAGACACCAGTGAGGGCCAGTTTACACCTCTGTATTGTCCCTTCATGCCACTTGTCACAACTGTAATTTGTTTTGGGGGTGATTAATTGCTGAGTGGCTTCTATCCCTCAAGACTGGAAGTGGCTTGACTTGCCTTCTGAGGATGCCCCCCCCCCCCCAAACCAGGGGGACACATCCATTCACCAGCTCCCCAGGGCTGGACACGGCGTCCAGGAAGTGCCTCATGATTGCATGTTGATGGAGGTCCCCAGTAACAGCCAGGGCAAGGATGGGGGCTCCCCTTCCCTGTCCTGCTCCGTGCCCATATTCTGTTTCTTGCTTTCTCGCTCTTTATTTTGCCTAGGCTCTCGGCCCAGTATTTGCCTCCACGGTCGCCTGCTGAGCTAGACTGCCAGATTTAGGAAGTTAAACACAGGGTGTACGGTTCAATTTGAATTTCAGATAAACAACGAATAATCTTTATATAAAAATATATTTTACATCAAAATGTATTTCCTATGAAAATCTATTTGCTATTTTTGGTATAGATACACAGTCAGTGTAAACATAATGGGACTTGAATCATTTGCTGTTTATCTGAAATTAACTGGGCCTCCTCGTTTTTCGTCTGGCAGCCCTACCCCAAGCTAAAAATGGTCTCCATCCTAGATGAGGCTGAATCGGATGGAGAAGAAGCTCAGTCACTTCCAACCCTCTGCTTCAGTGTAGCCAGCCTGGATAATAACAGGTGCTCAGCACTTGGTGGGTCTGCCCCAAACCTGCAGAGAAGTGACCACCTAGATTGCTGGCCTCAGGGAGTTGGGAGAGGCCAAGTGAGATTGGCTGGGGAGTTGGGTGACCTGGTGGAAAAGGGATCTGGCAAAGATTGCTGACCCAGCTTTGGGCCACCTCTTTACATACAGGATCTTATAATGAATACGGTCCCTTGCTCAATGACAGTAGCCCTCTGCTGACAGTGTTACATCCCACCTTGCTAAGCCCTCATGAGAACATTCCAGGTAGGAGGCATCGTCTCTCTTTCTCCGGTGAGTCAGCCAGTGCAGGGAGAAGTGGTTTCCAGGATTTTTGGCACAGCTGGGAAGCAGCAGAATTAGGATGGGAACCCAGAGGTGCCTGATTGAAGCTTGGACTCTTCCAACGCACTGCTGTGCTACCACTGTGCTACCCAGCCCGAGGCAGAAACTAGAGTGTGGGGAAGGGGCACAGTGGAAGGAGTCAGGAGTTCCACGTATTGATCCCAAAGAACTGTGACTGAGCTTGATTGTTACCTATCCAACCATTTACTCATCCACCCACCCATCTGTCCATCCCTCCACCCACCCATCTGTCCATCTACTCATCCATTCATACATCCATCCACCCATCCATCCGTCTATCCATCTACCCTTCCATCTATTCATCCATCCATCCATCCATCCATCCCACTATGGTACTGGAGAGGCCATCCGTCTGTTCACCTATCCTTCTATTGATCCATCCATCTGCCCATCTATCTTTCCCTCCTATTCTCTTAGGCTCTTGGGATGCTGTGGGTGCAGGAAGCTCTCTCACTCACCTGAAGGGTTCACACACCCTCGTGTCTCCCTGTGCACTCTGCCACGAGCCCTTCTCAGCTCAGTCTCAAGCTTGGCAGCTTGGTCAAGACCCAGAATTTAATCAGAAACTGGGGACTTCCTGTCGTGATTCTTTCATTGTTTTTATTCCATTCAGCCGGGAATGAACGACGTGCTGGACTATGGCCTGGACCGAGTGACCGATCCAAATGAAGTCAAGGTAAACCAGGTACGTTTTTGCTGCATTGTGGGTGGGACCTAGGTCAGGTTCTGAGGCAGGGAAGGTGTCCACATGTCCCTTCCTACCTGTGTGGGCAGTGCCATCTTCCCTTTGAGACTGCCATGGAGAGGAGCACCATGTCTCTGTGGCATCAGGGTCCAGGGAGAGGGGAGGCCATGGCCAGGGTCCTGGGTAAAGGGAGGTGACACTTGGAGAGAGGAGAGGGTGCAGAGTGTGGGTCAGAGCAGATGGCATCTAGATGACTGGTTTTCAGTCTTCTGTGAGTTACTTTCCCCTTTGAGAATCTGATGAGAATTATGAGCAACCCTGCCCAAAGATGCACAGGCAGACATTTTACACACACTGAGTAACCTCCAGGCTCAAAACCCTTGAATCAACTTTAGATTTAAACCGTAGTCCACGGGACTAGAATGTCATAGTTTGTTTCATATCCTAGTGGGGATCTTCCAAAGACTCTCAACTTTTTATTTGTAATGGATGGCCATTACAAATATATATATACAAATATATATATGTATATATATTTCAAATATATATATATATATATATATATATATTTGTAATTTAAAGAAGCATAGTTTGTATATTGTTGAAACCATGTCACTGTTGACATTTTGGGTCAGATAATTCCCTGGGAGGGGGCATTCTGTACAGTGTAGGATGTTTAGCGGCATCTCTAACCTCTGTGCACTAAATGCCAGAGACTCCATTCCTCTACTGGACCCACATCTCCAGGCCGACGATCAAAAATGCCTCTAGACACGGCCCAGTGTCCCTGGGGAGGGAGTCAGAGTGGCCCAGGTGGGAGCCGCTGACCTCTGCCAGCCAGCCTAAAACCCGTTTAAATTTGAATTGGGTGGTTTCATGGCTTTCCGTCCAGTGAGTCTCTGGTGGCCAGGAAAGGCCCCTCTTCAGTGCAGCTGTCACCTGCAGGCTTGTGCCTTGCAGCCTGAGCGCAGGGCTGGAGGGCTTGCTGGGCTAGGAAGGCGGCCGGCTGTGGAAGGGGAAGAGACAGGCGCAGGAGAGCAGTGCTGAGGCAGCTCTGGGACACGCGGAGAGGGACTTGGAGTTCCTAGAGAGTGTCACCGGGGGACTTGTTAGGTCCCTCGTCCACAAGTCAGACTGACCCTTCTTTGATCCCCACGTGGGGCTGTCAGCCTTCCCCCAGCGCCGTTCCCACGGCAGGCAGCCTCTCCTTGTTCCCCTTGTCAGATAGCAGATCACTGCTGAGGCCTTGTAGGCTCGGTTGCCATGGAAACAGAATCAGCCAGTGAAACGCAGAACCGGGTGGAGGATTTGCCTTTTTTGTGTGGCTAAGGGCTGCTCTGGAAACCTCTTTCCTGGGGAGGAGGGGGAGGGCGGAGGAAGAAAGCACGTCACTGGCTCTGACATGGGTGGGGCGTGGGGACAGTGCGGGGGGCACGTGTCTGTGACTGAGGCTCTGCTGCGTGTGTGGCGGGGTGTGTGTGTGGGGGGAAGGACACCGGAACTGAGCTGCTCCATCTGGGGCGCTGTGGTCGGGTGACCCCTGAGGGTCATGTCCTCCCTGGTGGTGCAGGAGGGAGGGAGCCTCTGGCTCTCAAACCCGTTTCTTGCCAGCGGCTGCCGGTGCCTCCAGCCCAGAGCCAAGGCCCAGAGGGTGTGAGGCTGAGTGTGTGCTCATGGTGGGCTCCACGCAGCAGCGCCTCCCCTGCCACTCACACCTCTCCCTCTCTCTCTCCCTGCAGCTCTCCTCCTCCGTCTGTGCACACGGGCTGCTGTGGACTAGTGACAAGAGCAGGCGCCTGCTTCTCATGCAAGCTGACCCCTCGGCCTCCCTCAGCCTCCAGCCTGTCCGTCAGACCTGGCTGTGCAGGGCATGGGGCGGGGGCCGGCCTCCTTTCCCACCATCCGAGTGTCCCTGTCCCCACGGCTTACCTGCCCTGAGAGGAGAGGGCGCCTGAGAGTGCAGACTCCCCAGAGCTCTGGGAGGGCAGAGGTTTTGCATTTTGTACATGGCGCCTGAGCTGGTTAGAGGAGAAAGGTGACTTCTGAGAATGAACGATTGAATGAAGAGAGGCCTCTTTTTCTTAAATACAGGCCAAACCCCATCAAGCACGAGAAAGAGGCCGCTAGGCTGGCAGGTGTCCAGGGCCCCTGGTGAGCCGCTGTGTCAGGCTGATGGCCTCTAGTTGGCAAGGCTGCCCAGCCCTGGGAGGACCTGGTCATGAGCCTCTCCTCAGTTCTGACCCCTTGAGACAATGGGGTGTATAGCTGCCCATTTCCCCTTTTATTACAGAGAGGATTTGGCCCCATGGTAAGGACCCTGATTGGAGGCCAGGCTTTGGCAGTGATGTGCCCTTCCTCCTGACCCTCCCCAGGAAGGGCTCCTCTGACAGGGTTCTCACTGTTTCTAGCAACCAGGGGCAGCACTGAGTGCTGAGGGTCAGGTCAGCTGGAAGGACCAGCGCTGCCTCGCGCTGCCTGGGTGGTCTTGGGCGAGCTCTGGAGCTGTTGCAAGTCTCAGCTTCCTCGTCTGTAACATGGGGACAACCATAGTTCCTTCCTCAGAGGATCGGACAGGATCATTCATGTGAAGTGTCCAGAATGGGAACCGACATGCTTCACAGACAGTAGCCGTGATTGCTAGAACGGGCGCTGGGTCATGTGGGAGATGATTTATGGGGTCCTGTCAACCTTTGACCCCACCCGGGAGGCTGTACTTAGCCGTGTTCCTGTCTGCCCTCATACCTTCGCATACTCCCACGTTGACTGGAGGGAGGGGGGTGCATTCCAATTTCAACCTCTCTGCCTGCTCTAGTCACCGACCGCTGAGCACAGAGTGGTTACGTAGGTGTGCGCAAGAGGCTTTGAGTAAAAGGAAGAAATATAAATACTGCAGAGCACTCAGCCTGGGGCCTCAGGGGGCAAAGCCCCCCTAGTGCTCACACCAGTAGGGGACAGATTGCTTTCTTCTTGTGGCCAACCACGCATTGGAAAAAGAGCAACCCTGGGGACTGATGTTTGCTGACGGCTCGCTGGCCAGGGAAGACTCCCGTCCGTCCGAGGAGGGACAGAACGTCGGGGCATCCCTGTTGGAGAGAAGAAAAAACCATGAAGCCCGGATGTGACCCTCAGCTGACAGCCCTGCAGAGCCCGCTCCGTATCCTGCCTGCTGCTTAGTAATGCCCACTGTGTGGCCTTCTGAAGCTTTGCTAGATTTCATTAAGCCCATGACGGGAGGTAATGTCAGCTTCATTTTTCATATGACAAAAACTGCAACCGAGAGATTTAGCCCTTTGCCAAAGGTGGCGCAGTCAGGACTCCAATTTAGATCTTTCCAGTTTTTACAGCTCAGGCCTAAGTCTTGCACCCAGGGCCACTCCACTGGCAAGTGACTTGAACCCTCATCCAAGGCCCCACACAGGAGGGCCTTGTATGATTTAATATCCATCACTGTCTTAAAATTTCTCCTGTTTTTCTGGAGAAGGGGCCCTGCGTCTTCCTTCTGCACCGGGCCCTGCACACTGTGATTAAATTCTGTCTCCACCTGATCAGGAAGTACCTTGCAGGGTGGGATTTGCTCCAGATGATAGCAACCTGGGATCCTCACTTCCGGAACAGCAGTCTCTCTTCCCTTTTCCTGTCTGCTTTACATTAACGACTTCCTTTTCTGGATTTCCCTGTTTGCAGCTTCTGTCCCCCTCTCTGCGGTCAGTGCTGTCCACTCCTCAGATTCTTTTCATCTTGCCCTTGGTTCTGCGAGGACGTCTGCCTGGCCGCCTCCTCCCAGACGCTCCCTGGCTCTTATCTGACAGGGGCCTCCGGGTCTCTCAGGCACGGCCCGGATCCCTCTGGCCCTGTGACGATGGTCCACAACCTCCATCCTGGCTTTGGCCCCAGAGCTGTGTAAACAAGTCTAGATGTGTCCCTATTTGGGAAACTCTGCAAGTGAAATATATTGAGTTGTTAGAATTCCAGGAATGCCGAGCACTCCAAGATTCCTTCAGCAGAGTATTCTTAGTGTGGCAAAGTGTATCTCTTCCCCGTAGAGTAAAGAGAGGGCCTCAATGCAGGGTGGGGTGGGGGGACTTTTAAGAAAGGAGGGGGTTGATGCGAAATTCTAGATGGAAAAATGTTTGCATCTTCCTATTTCATCAGGAGGTGGTTTTTTTGAATTGCATAGAATGGCAGGTAGGTGGGTGCGTTTTTAATAACTTCACTTTAAAATGATGTTTCTTATGACCTTTGGCTAAGTAATAATAATATTGAGAGTCGGCTTACAAGATTTAGCAAATAAAAACAGAGGATTCCCAGTGAAACTCGAATTCCAGATGAGCAATGATAACTTTTTAAATGGAAGTATGTCCCAACCATAGCCTGAGCATCTTGTAATCTTATCTTATAATGAGGCTTACGCCATACCATGTGTGTGATTAACCTCTCCATGTTGGGTCTCAGCAGTTAGCCAGTTACCTATGTATATTACCTCACTGAATTCCCTTTTTTCTTCTATCTTCCTCTTAAAAATGAGAAATCAGAGGCTCTTGGATGCTAACTAATTCATCTGAGGTGACATAGCCAATCCAATATGTGGTAGAGCCAGAATTTTAACATTTGACCCCAAGACTCTTTCCTGAGCCATTCCTCATCTTACAGATAACATTGTCTCTCCATCTTTTAGAAAAGTCCAGAACCACTTGGGCCAGGCATGGTACACGCCTGTAATCCCAGTGGCTCTGGAGGCTGAGGCAGGAGGATCACAAGTTCAAAGCCAGCCTTAGCATGGAGAGGTGCTAAGCAACTCAGCGAGACCCTGTGTCTAAATAAAATACAAAATAGGGCTGGGGGTGTGGCTCAGTGGTCGAGCGTCCCTGAGTTCAATCCCTGGTACCTTCCCTCTGCACTGTCCCGCCGCCCCTTTCCCTGGGCAGAGATACCTGTGTGCCAATCTGGAGGAAGACCCCATGAACGGCTATTTTTAAAGGTAGAAAAAAAGCTAAGGTTCACATGGACCATCTAAGGTATAGATGAAGCAGCCTCAGATTCAAAAGAATCCTGTCACAGTTGGAGCATCCCTAATCAAAAATCTGAAATCCTCCTAACCCTGAAACCACCAACATGGCGATTCATATTATAAAACTTTGTTTCTGCACAAAATTATTATTACTATGATTTTGGAACTGGGGACTGAACCCTGAGGTGCTTAACCACTGAGCCACATCCCTAGCCTTTTTAATTTAGAGACAGGGTCTCACTGACCTTAGGGCCTCAATAAATTACTGAGGCTGGCTCTGAATTTATGATCCTCCTACCTCTGCCTCCCAAGCTGCTGGGATTACAGGTGTGCACCACCGTGACTGTCTTCTGCACCAAATTGTTAAAAATATTGTATAAAATTACCTTCGGGCAAGTGTACAAGATGCATATAAAACACAAATGCATTTTGTGTGTAGACTTGGGTCCCATCCCCAAGATATCTCGTTATGTACCTGTAAATATTCCAACATCTGAAAAAAAAATTTGAAATCTGAAACCCTACTGGCCCCAGGCTGTGGTATAAGAGCTTCTCAACCTGCATGAGAGAATCTGGTTCCCAGAAGACAGCTGGTAGTTCTGGAAACCAGAAAACATACAGCAAACCACACCACAGAAGTGGATTCCTAAGGAGATACTAGAAGCAAGTAAAGTCAATAAAAATATAAAAATTTAAAAACCGAAGACTGAGATTAATGGCCCCAGAAGCAAATAAATACATGAGGCCAAAGAAGAACCAGGAGAGGTGGAAGGGAAATGCGGTGCTTGTGGCTATGGCTTGCAAGAACACTAGGGCCCCACCCCTTCCCTCTGCGACTTGTCTCGGGAGTCCTGGGCTCCAGGTGTTTGGACAGGAAGTTTGTGGAGCTGGGCTCTTTGAAGGAGGGTGTTTATGCCCCTGGCTGTGGAGCATGTGCCTAGCATGATATTGATCTTTACCATCATTAGAGTCAGTTGAAGAGCATTTCCTGTGTTTGTGTCATCATGTGGTTGGGGCTCTTGCTTTCTTTTTGTTTTAAGTTAAATGACTGGACACTCATTCCATTCTGCAGCATTCTCAGCTTCAGGGCAAAGAAGAAATTGGTGAAGAGAGCAGGCTAGGTGGGAGAGCTCATGGGCTCCCTGATTTTGTGTCTCTCACAGATCCATCCTCAGCTTTGCAAAGGGCAGAACTGGGTTTGAATCATGGCTCAGCCAATTACTGATCAGAAGATGTTGAGGAAGTTATCCACAACCTCTAATAGCCTTTGCTTTTCTTAGCAGAAAATCTGTATTAAAAATCTCCCTCCCTTGAGCTTTATAAAAACACAGAGTTGTATAAATTGCTTTGCAGTATTTGCTAGTCGTATTATGCAAACATCCCGCTTCCCCTTTGAGCAGAGGTCGGAGATCGTTAGATCTATTCTGAGTAATCTGTTTCTGCCAGACTGTAATAGAAAGATCTGATTGCATCAGATTTGATAGCTAGTTCACACTGGCCCTTTTCCTACCTGAAATTCATGTCTTCTAAAAGAGCGCCTTGTATTGAGAGAGAATGGAAGTGGATGGTAAGTGTGGTCGCTAAAATATTTAGATCATTTGGGGGAGTGTTTTCGAATTTTTGAGTGGAAAAGCTTAGAGAAAATCCTCGGTTTTCTAGGCCTCCAACTGTGCTGAAGTCATCATTTATTTGATATTTGTTGAGCATCTACCCTGCACTGGACATTTTTCAAGGGAAGAAAGCCATGGACTCTAGGCCCTTAATGGTGATAGTTTAAAAGAGTCACACAAATAAATACATGATTGGAATTGTCCTGGTGCTGTGAAGAAGGTCAGGATGTGTGAGAATCAGACACCTACCTGAGCTTTCCTTTTCTGAGATAACTTTCCCTACCCTGCTATGGAAGAAAAAGATTTCCCGTGAAGTGCATCTATAAAAGCAGAGTGGAACCCAGCTGGATCAGACAGGAGAGATGAGAACATGGCTTCCCACCGTGGGCCGGCCCTCATCCCTTGTCAATGGGCTCATGAACCAGTGCTGCTTTGGCTAACTGGCTAAGGAAAAGGTGCATCCATCATGGACTCTGACTCCGTTCCAAGTGAAGATTGGGTTTGGTTCAGTGGCATGGATGGCAGCCACCTGGAATGAAGAGGTTCAGCTTGAAGTGGGCACTAAGCAGGCTGAGGACATAACCACATGTAGGAAGGCCAGGACTGGAATGACCACCCACCATACCCAACCTCATGTGGAGCACAGAAATGGTGCCATGGGAGCCTGTCCCTCTGGGGTTGTAGGAGGTGATGTGTTTTAGCTGGAGACAGATTTGCATGGTTTCCAGGGGTTTCTAAAGCAAGCCCTTCTTTCTCTGCCTTAGCTCAAAAAGTCTGGAGAGAGGACACCTTGCAGCCCTTGCCCAGCCTGAACTTGCTTTGGTAGCTCAACTCTAGGGCTCAGCTGTCAACAGACACTGGGTTTTTAATTGTGTGCTTTAGTTTTGGCAATGAACTTGTTTTTTTTTTTTTTTTTAAACTTACAGTTGTTGATTAGATTGTTATGAATGGAGAGACTGAATCTCACCTTTCTTTCAGAACTCTCCCCTGTGAGAAAAGAAACACACTCAAGATCTTTGCTACTCTTTCTTTCTCCCTCCTTTTGTATCTCAGTGAGAGGGAAGGATTCCCTTCTTTATCTCCCACTTTCCAGATGGTTCTACAGAAGATCAAGGCCAACCCCAAACTTAGTCTTTAATTCATCTTGGATTTAGAAGAGCAGCATAAAATTACAGTGGTAAATGATACTCCTTCCCTGGCCGAGTCTTGTCCTTGATCTTGTCCTCCAGCGTTTGCATAGAATAGGGTGAAAGATGTGGCAATGGGGAAATCCTACATTTTAAGAAAAGTCGGACAGTTTTCTCTTGGGGAAGGGTTCTTATTTTTCAGATGGGTATTTGAACTGGAATGATTTAATGACATCGGTTTAATGGCTTTGTTTCTTTGCTTTACAGAAACAAACAGTCACTGCTGTCAAAAAAGAGGTAATTAGTTTCCTGGTTCCAGTGAAGTTCGATTTAAAGTCTTCTAACAAATTATATGTACTTTGGCCTCATGCTCTGGGCTCAGTAATGAAATGAAAACCATGTGTACTGTTCAAACAATTGTTTTCAAATTAATGGGCAACACAGAATGACAAAGGATCTTTTGTAAGATCCCACTGGGGCTGATGCTGAGACTCAGGATTTGAAACACCCCTTGAAGTCATGGAGCTGAGGGTTGGCCAGAGAGGACTGTGGGAGTGGACGTAGCAGAGTGTCCATATCCTGGCCCCCTGCTCTTACAACTGCGGGGCCACCCAGAAGCTAACCATCATGGTGAACTGCCTATTTGGGCAAATTTTCTCTCCAGGTCTCAAGTCTGAGGCCTGGGAAGCATTGGCCACTGATATGGGACATAGAGGGATATCCAAACGCGGGGGAGGGTGGTTGAGAAGGGAATGGCATGCTAGTGCTGAAGCTGTAGAACCAGGTCCCTGTCCTGGTGACCACCCTGTTTCTGTCAGCCAGAGGCATGTGAGGGCAAGCGAGGCATCTTCCCCCAGGTTTTGGTTTAATGTTCCTTGGGACATTTTTTTATGTGTTTTTCCAGGGGGTTAAGGAAGCCACTGACTTGGAATTTGGGAGTTACCTATCTTGGTGGGAGGGGGATGAGCCCTTTTGGCACACAGGTGCCTGGCTTAAGGGAACAGAGTGGGCTGTTATTATGGATAAATGGCTTCTGGTCTTGGAGCCAAATGTAACATCAGTGTTGGTGACACTTGAGGATGTGGAGTTGGACATGTTCTAACAACTGCGTCTCTTCCAGATCATGTATTACCAACAGGCCTTAATGAGGTCCACAGTGAAGTCGTCAGTGTCCCTTGGAGGGTATGTCCCTGATTTATTGGTCTTTTGGAACCTGGTCTTGCAACAGGTAGACAAGAGGGAAACTTCTGCTTTAAGGCAGACTTGATAAGTCATGAACTGAGATAAGATCCTAAAGAATTGTAAGATACAAACTCAGTCCCTTGGGTTTAGTTTCCAGCTCCTCGCTCAGAATAGATCTCCAGGTCTCACTTGGTTTGGGTAAAATCGAGGGTGGCTGAGGTTCTGTGAGTCTGCCATGTCTCTGGGTCACTACTTGTGTGGATGAGGAGGTCGGAAGAGTCGCCAACTCCATGAACTGGGCTCCTGGGGATCTAAAACCATCTAGATTCCTGTCACCACCCACTCCAACCTATTAGGGATATGTACGCCATATTTACTGGTTCAATGTGTTGTTAAATGTCCACTGCTTACCTTCAAGTTCGGTTTGGAGAGATTGGAAATTTATGTTTGATTGATTGAACTATCAGCCTACCTTGTCCAGGTCTGCATGGGGAATTATCTGGGAGACAGATCACTTAAGGGTTTAAGTGCCTCCCCAAATGCAAGAAGTTATCCTTTTGAAATATGGAATTCATTCTAGGAGCATCTTGGTAACTCTGAGATCTTCCTGCACACATGAAAACAAACTCAGTTTGTTTCTTTTCATTGTTTATTCTGACTGTGTTGGACTCCAGCCGTGATAAGGGGTATGATAAGGGGTATGAGGCACTGTGGGGGCTGACAAGGTTGTATTTTGTCCAGTACCCTCCTTCCAGTGGGGTTAGGGGTCAGGCTCTTTTAAAAATCTTTCTCATCTTCCCAAATTCCTAGTTTGTAAAAATTCCACCCTGAGAAAATGTCCTGTGACCCCACCCACATTTTTCAGTGACTTCTCTGTTGAGCTCTGATCATGGGTAAAGAGAGTACCTCTGTGTTCAGTGGGCCCCATTTTGGGTTAGGAGGCTAATCATTGCTCTGTGATAATCTCAGAACTATTTACTCTGATGCTTCAGAAACCAGTTTCACAAAAATGTTCAACATCTCTAGAGAAATGCAAATCAAAACCACTCTAAGATTTCATCTCACTCCAGTCAGAATGGCAGCTATCAAGAACACAAACAACAATAAGTGTTGGCGAGGATGTGGGGGGGAAGGTACACTCATACATTGCTAGTGGGGCTGCAAATTGGTGCAGCCAATATGGAAAGCATATTGGAAAACTGGGAATGGAACCACCATTTGACCCAGCTATCCCACTCCTCGGTCTATACCCAAAAGACTTAAAAACAGCATACTACAGGGACAAGCCACATCAATGTTTATAACAGCACAATTCACAATAGTTAAACTGTGGAACCAGCCTAGATGCCCTTCAATAGATGAATGGATAAAGAAAATGTGGCATATATACACAGTGGAATATTACTCAGCAATCAAAGGGAATAAAATCATGGCATTTGCAGGTAAATGGATGGTGCTGGAGAAGATAATGTTAAGTGAAGTTAGTCAATCCAAAAAACCAAATGCCGAATGTTTTCTCTGATATAAGGAGACTGATCCATAGTGGGGTTGGGAGCGGGAGCATAGAGTATTAGATGAACTATAGATAGGACAAAGGGGTAGGAGGGGAAGGGAGGGGGCATGGGGATAAAAAGATGGTGGAATGAGATGGACATCATTACCCTAAGTACATGTATGGAGACACAAATGGTGTGAATATACTTTGTATACAACCAGAGATATGAAAATTTGTGCTCTATATGTGTAATATGAATTGTAATGCATTCCACTGTCATATATAAAAAATTAGAATTAAAAAATATAAACCTGTTTCATAAAACCAAATGGAAAGAAAATTGAAGGAGACATGAATACTTTTGGATACTTCCTAGACTCACTTTCTAGTTTTAGGAAAATTGCCTCATTACCATAAATTTATATTATTAGTGTTTGGACCTGTGGACCAGTCTTTTTTGTCTTTCCAACGGATCCACTGGTAGTGTGATTAAAGAAAAAGCATGAAGGGCAGCTAGGAGGCTCAAGTTCTGCAAACCTAAGACTCTAGGCCAAGGATCCCGTGCTATCAAAATCCATAGCTATGGGAAGATTTTGCAATAGGTGCCTTATATACACCTATGGATGCAGGCTTCCCTACTTCTCAGACATCAGGAAATATATCAACTCAGAAGGTCTGATAATTCAGGGGAATTTGCTTTTGCCCAAAGTAGTGGGTTTGGAGTTCACACATCAATTAGGCCATAGGTTTTCAAGTTCCCAAACTTAGGCATGACTCCGACAGAGAGTGGAATCCAAGATGGCAGCAGAATCTCCGCACATGGGGGGCAACCTCGTGCCTCCAAGATGGAAGCCAAGAGACAGGCAGACTGAGTCGGTACTGAATTTTAAAATATCCTGATAAAATGTGAAGAGGTCATGTTTTAATGGTCTAGGGACAGAGAAAGAATAAAGGATCTGGACTGGGGAACAATACCTTGATTTACAGGTAGAATAGGGACAGATATTGCCAAATACCTGCCAATTCCAGCAGCTCTTAGAACACTTTTCTAAGAAGATAGTAATAAGTGTAGAACTAAATCGATACAAGGAAAGAGGAAAAGCTGGTCAACCCAAACACTGATTTACTCTCTTGGTGTTGAGCTTCTAGGAAATTGTTTTTCTGCTTTTCAGGATTGTCAAGTACAGTGAGCAGTTCTCATCTAATGACGCCATTATGTCGGGCTGCCTCCCTAGCAATCCTTGGATAACAGACGACACCCAGTTCTGGGATTTAAATGCCAAATTGTATGTATTCAATATATATATATATATTTTTAAATAGCTTTTGAATTGTAATTCACATGTATACAATTTAGTACAATTGTCACTACAATTGATTTAAAAATATTTTTATCACCCCCAAAAGAAATCTTGTATCCTTTAGCCATCACCCACCAAGTCTCCATCCCCCAGACCCCTCCAGCCCTAGGCCACTTCTGGTCAACCTACTTCTGTCTCTGTAGAGGGATTTGCCTGCTCTAGATATTCACATAAGTAGAATCAACAGTTCGTGATCTTTTCTCGTTAGTTTGTTCACTTAATATAGTGCTTTCAATCCTTGTCCATGTTGTAGCGTGTGCTGGCACCTCGCCTCTGTTTACAGCCTAACAATATTCACTGTGTAGATGACTGCGTGTTGTTTATCTGTTCATCCATCGATGGACACTTGGGCGGTGTCTGACCTTTAGCTATTATGAGTATGTTGCTGTGAACATTCATGCAAAAGTGGTGAAGGGGCAGCTGCCGTGGGTGATGGGTGGCTGGCTGGTGGCTGTGACTGTAGCATCCATAACCCAGGCTGCACTAGAATTCTCTCCTGGCTGCGGTGGCAGCCTGGCCCTCCACTGGATGGTCTTCAGGCCATCCTGAGGCCTTGGAGTAGGCCTGGAGCTCTTTCCCTGGAGGCTGTGGGAGCAGGGCCTGGTCACATGGCCCCCGCCTCTGCATTGCCCGAGGGTCCGCGTCTGGGGCTACATCTTCCTGGCGAGTAAACACTTGGATTGGGGACTGGGAGAGGAGGATTGGGTGAAGAGGTCAAGCCGTGGGTTGTGAGACTAATGAGGAGTGTGAAGCTCCTCGCTGCCACCCTGGCCACCATTAGGGACCTCCGCTGCCTTCACGTGGAGTGTTACATTTATAAATCATTGTCCTTGCAGGGTGGAAATCCCAACCAAGATGCGTGTGGAACGATGGGCCTTCAACTTCAGTGAGTTGATCCGAGACCCCAAGGGTCGACAGAGCTTCCAGTACTTTCTCAAGAAAGAATTCAGTGGTGGGTATTCTTTTTTAAAAATTTTAAAATAAAAATTTGACTTTTAGTAAAATTCCTTTAATGTCTAGCCGAGAGATTTAGGACTTTTTCAGTAAACGTTTCCATAGCTCTGCTGAGACACTTAAATAGGGGTTCCCTCCTTTACAGCTTCCAGAGTCAGACCTGGGTCCAGGACCAGTTCTAGGCCTCAAAGGGGCCCCACAGTCCAGGGGGATGATTGCATCTCTGCACAAAGTCCATGTTAGCTTTAGGGCTTCATCCTGAAGTAGGGCTTTTCGGGATGGGATGTAAAATAAGTGAGGTTTACCTCTTTGCCTCCCAGTTTGATGTTTCTTTAGCCCAGTTCTGCAGATTTGATCCACCAGGGAATATTTTAAAACATATCTTTGCTGGATCCCACCCCTGGAAATTCCTTTTTTATTGGTTTGGGCTATAATCGCTAAGGTGTTGGAAGGTCCCCAGGTGATTCCAATCTGTGATCATGATTGACAGCCACTGCCTTTGCTCCTGTCAGGGACCGAGCAACGTGCAGATGGTGATGAGTTGTAGGACCACATTTTATGCCCCATCTCTGGGTGCCCCAATGGTGGGCAATTGCAATTTCTTAAATATAGTGTGTTGAGAAACATCTGGAAAAACCAAGAGGCCAGATTAGAACCAGTGTCACCAGGCTGCACATTCAACTGGCTTCACCACCTTCATTGAACTATTTGCTTTCCTGGGATGTATTTTCTTACTTATGAAGTCCCCAGCCCTGGGAGCTTCATGTTGAGCCTTGAGACTCAGCTGCTCACCACTCAAAACCTGTGGGGTTGCTCTGGAAACAAATCCCACTGGACATGCCTTTGGTCCATTGGCCTGTCTGATGCAGAACATCACATTATAACATGGATTCTTGAAAAATTTTCTCCCTAATCAAGCCTAATGGCCATAATGTAATAAACCCCAGAAAAGGTGATGGAAGCGAGTGCTCTTAGGGCCAGCAGGTAAATAAGTGGAAATGGTGCCATCTAGTGGCTAGGTGATAAACTACGTCGAGTATAGTTCCTTCGAATCAGATTTCCCTGCGTTATTAAAACCCATTATTGTCAATCTCTTTATGAGAAGCCCAAGGGTTCACGTATGAAGAGAGAAGGTGAATAATCAGTTTTCTCATTTAATTAAAAAAACTTAATTTGAGATATGATCCACATAACATGAAGTTCACTCTTTTATATTAAAAAAGTAATAAAGTGTAAATTTCAGTGGTTTTGAGCACATCCATTAAGTTTGTACTGCCATCAAAACTAATTCACCATGCCAGAAAGTACCCCCTTGCCTGTTAGAAGTCATTTCCTATTCCTCCCTCTGCCCATTTCTCCCCCCGCCCTCCATTCTCCCCTAACCACACTCATGGATCTATGGATTTGCTATTCTGGACATTTCTTATAGATGGAATAATAATAAAACACATAATTGTTTGTCTTTCCCCACTTATTATATAGTGTTTTCAAGGATTGTCCACATTTTCGTGTGTAATGGGGCTTCATTCCTTTTTATGACTGCAGTATATTCCATTGTATGGATAGACCACCTTTTATCCATTCATCAGTTAATGGACATTTGGGCTGTTTTGACCTTTTTTTGTTGTTGTTGTTGATGTTCCAGGAATTGCACCCAGGGCACTTAACCACTGAGTTACATCCCCAGTCTTTTTTATTTTTTATTTTGAGACAGGGTCTTGCTAAGTTACCTAGAGCCTCACTAAATTGCTTAGGCTGGCTCTGGACTTGTGATCCTCCTGCCTCAGCCTCTCAAGCCACTGGGATTATAGGCATGTGCCACTGTGCCCAAGTGTTTTGACTTTTATTATAAATAATGCTACTGTGAACATTGGTGCATAGACTTTTCTGTGTATTTACTTAATCTTCTGGTATTAAAATACATATAACAAAATCTACCATTTTATTTTTATTTTTTCCAAGTTATTAAAGTTACCACTTAAACCATATTCTTAAGTGTACAATTCGGCGGCAATGAGCACATTCACATTGCTGTGCAGCCGTCACCACCACCCACCTCCAGAACTTTTTCAGTCTCCCAAGTGAAACTCTGTACCCATCACACACTGAATTCCCAGCTCTTGGCTACCACCATTCTTTCTGTCGCTATGAATTTGATCACTCCAGGCACCACACAAAAGTGGAATCCTTCAATATTTGTCCCTTTGCACCTGGTTTATTGCACGTAGCCTGATGTCCTCCAAGTTCATCTGTGTTGGGTCACGTGTTGGGATCCCCTTCCTTTTCACTGTTCTTCCTGAGCTATCCTCCAGCCCACGTGAGGACCACATGTTGTTTCTGCCTTCCTCCATCCATGGCTGTCTGGAGTTATTTTCACCTTTTGGCTACTGTGGATAGTTGCTTATTTAGTTTTAGCCATAGGCAATTAGCTGCCCTTTGTAGTGGGCAGGGTGGTCTCCATTCCACTTGGTCTCAGCTCAGCTGTCAGTTAAGAGCATCGCTGGTCTGTGATCCTGGAGCAAAGAATACCCTGAAAAGTTCATGCTGAAGAGCAAGGACCTGTGTGGCATGAAGGGACAAATGCCATAGAGTTTAGAATTGTGTAGCCTTTCCCAATATGAAATACCTGGAAGCTTTAAAACACAACAGGAAAGGAGAAGAGGGGAGTCTCCTCCATTTTCCTCTGCCATGGCATTTTGTGGTTTGCATGCAGGCATGCACACACTCATAGGCTCTTGGTCGCCTGTTAGTGTGATCATCTTTATTTTCCCAGTCAAAAATTCCCACCTGGGATCACTGTACCAACATGTTCCCAATGCTTCTGAGTGTCATGGACAACTGGTGAGAGAACGTAAAGTTGGAAGGAGATGAAGAATTTCTAGGGGTCTGGATTTTCTTCTAGGCCAAGAGGGACAGAGTCCCTCTGACTCTGGTGACGCTCAGTTGAATCTCCCTGGTGGCCAGGCCTTCCCTGAGGGTCAGTCCATCAGCATCATGCCTGAGTGACGCAAGATCCTTGCAAGGACCTCTGGGCTGGAGCCGCTGGGGGCTGCAGAAGTTCATGTCTCCACATGCAGTCACACCGACCGGAGGCAGAAGTCATGCAGTCAGTGAACGCAGCCCAGCAGGCAGGGGTGTTCAGGAGGAAAGTCTTGGGTGTAGGGATAGTGCTTACGTGCTTCATCCCATGGGCATAAGCCAATGAGAAAAGAAAGGTCACAACCCGGGGTGGGGGGGTTATGATGAGCTCTGTCCTGTGTATTGCTCTACAAAGGAACAGCACCCACCATGTGAAAGTGTTGCCCCAAAGGTGGCGGGCACCGAATCAGATGATTTCAAAGGCCATTGCTGGGTTCCAGATGCTCTCCCCGCCCGGGACGTGAGGCGGGGCTCCTTCCCCAGGAGTATTTAGCCCGAGGTCCCAATGTGCAGGGGCTCCCCAGGCTGCAGAGCGGATCCTGTCCCAGCTGACCCATTTCTTTTATGTCTCCTTTTCTTCTCTGGTTGCCCTTTGGTCCGTGTGGACCCTTCCTCCTGGTGCAGGGGAGAATCTGGGATTCTGGGAAGCCTGTGAGGACCTGAAGTATGGAGATCAGTCCAAGGTCAAGGAGAAGGCGGAGGAGATTTACAAGTGAGGCCTAGCTGGATGGTTGGGGGAGCCTTCCCGGGTGGGGCCGGGTGGAGCAGGAGGTCTCATACCTGTCCAGCTGTCTGCTTGGGTGCTTCGAAGACAGCCTGGTGGGATGGACATGGGATCCGGTGAGAATGTGTCTGGGGGCTAAAAGAGCAAGCTGCACGATTCCAGGGCAGAATTCTTTAGCTGACCCTCCTCAGGTCTCCCTGGGTTGTGTGTGTGACGTCCTCCCCTCAGCCGGGCAGTACCCTTGTCCTGCTGTGGGCTCCTCCCACTGGTCCTTCTGTCTGTGCTGGGCACAGTGGGCACCAGTCTTGGGCTCCGAGGCCCAGGGCTTTTAGCTCCCACTCACACGGTTCCCAAGGTCCCTACTGTGCAGCTGGAGCCAGCCCTCGGAGCCCCGGTGCTGGTGTTTGGGCAGCAGGCCAGGCGGCCCCTCCCCTCAGAGACTCAGCCTTTGTCCCTGTGACATCCTTCCTTCATGTGGTCTTAGGTTGGACCAGCTGGTGTTCAGAGAGGTGAGGAGAGCAGTGCCTGGCTGCTCTGTTGGGCAGGTTCACTTCCCTCCCCCAGTGGGAGGGGCTCTGGTCACCAAGAAAGATGTGTGTGTGTGGGGGGGTCTAAGAAGGACCTGTACAGGCTTCCCCAGAACAATGGACTGTGTTCACGACACATGGAAAACTCCTAATGCCAAAAATCTGCTGGAAGGGAGCATCAGCCTCCAACCACATTAGCCTTCTTTCTCCCCAGCCTCCCCATTTATGTAAATCTTTGAATTCCAAAATTTTAATGTCCATCCTAGGAGTGTAGGAAAACATCCGTGTGAGTGCTTGCAACCTGTAACTACTAAGAATTAGAAGCACTGGGGGAGCTCCCAGTGCTCAGATCCCAGGCAGAGCCACAGGACTTAGAAAGTAGGGCAACTTCAGGGTCAATAGCCAGGCCACCTCTGGGTGCCGGGAATAAGGGCTGCCTCCTGACTCAGCACTGGAGATTTATCACCAAACCCATTTAGGTTGGCACAGGGGAGAGCAGAACCTCCCTTGGGAGGTGTCTTGTCCTGGCTCCAGGTTGGCCCTGGAATCCGGATGAGTAAGGAGGCGGAAGGTGTTAAACTGGGGTGGACTGGCCAGGGCCTTCCCTACCTGGGCCCTCCCTCCCTCCTAGAGGGCAGCAACATCAAACTTAGACACTCTCGTTCCCAATTCTGGCATGGCTGTTTTCTCGCCTCTAGGAAAAGCCGCTGGACCACCTCTTCAAAGTTCAAACACTTCAGTGTTTCCTAAACGACGAACCTCACCCTGGGGAGCCCTCCCAAGCAGCTGTGAACTTGGTTTGGCTACTTTTGTGACTATCTCCCTCCTTCCCCAGACTGTTCCTGGCCCCGGGAGCCAGGCGGTGGATAAACATAGACGGCAAGACCATGGACATCACGGTGAAGGGGCTGAAGCACCCGCACCGCTACGTGCTGGACGCAGCGCAGACCCACATCTACATGCTCATGAAGAAGGTGGGTGGGGTCCGGCCAAGGACCAGGGGCCAGGGAGCCCTTCCCTTCCTAGCTACCTGGGCGGTTCTTTAGATACGGGGGAGGGAGATGACAGGAGGATATGGCTTTGCTGGTGGTAGGAGGCGGAATTGCCCATTGGGCTGGGCTGGACCCTCCTTGAGCCCCCAGGCCCACGGGCCATGGAGGACACCTGTTTGCATCTTATGGGCCCCTTGCTCTGCAGGACTAATGTAGGTGGCATCGATGACATTATTAATGATTGTGTTAATACGATAGCCACTTGTTGCAACTGGTGTGCCAAGTATAGAACTTGGTTCTCCAGGAGAACCGTGCAGGAGGCATTGCTGCTCCAGAGCCCAGGGTTCGCCCAAGATCTTGGCAGAGATGGGCGTGGGATGCCAGCTCTGGGTGTACCTGAGTCCAGAGTCCTGTGTTTTGGGGTGGTGGCAGTGTTTCTGGTGCTGGGCAAATAGAACCCACGGAAGGCTTGGTGTCTAAATGACACAAATTAGATATGATTGTAACCAGACCCTGAGAGAATCCAGATAGCCTTCTGGGTCATTAGTGAAATGTGAACATACTACGAATTTTCAGGGAACTGTTAAAAATAAAATGAAGAGAGAAGAGATAAAATCAGGCGGAGTCAGGTTTGGAGAATTGTCTAGTTTGGTCCATCCTTGAGGGTGGGGTGAGGAGGACTGTTGGTCCGGGAAGTTTCCACGACAGCCTTCCCCAGAACAGTTCGGAATCCCCAGTAAGGATGCTTCCATTTCTCATTACGGCAATGATTCCTTTTATGGCAAAGTACCCGGTACCTTGTCGTGTGGTGAAGATCGGTGTGAATGGTCAATGTTTATTTATTTCCCTTATTTATGTTTTTTTTTCCTAGTTAGTCTTTCATTGTGTTGTAAGGAAATATATTTAATGAAAACAGGTAACCCTTTAGAATTTTTGGCAAGCATCCTTAGCCATCTCTCATCACTTTTTCCATCAGTGAAATTTCTCTGTTTTTCTTGCTAGAGGTCCACAGCACGGTTTCTATAAAAATAGTCCTCCTTAATGTACTATGAAATGTGTCGATTCTTAAAAATGTTGCTTCAAGAGAAGCCCAGGGAGGCATCCAGCTCCCAGCCAGGATGGAACAGCGTCTCGGGTGACTTAGGAAATGAGCAGTGTATGTGCTTGTTGGTCTCCACGTTCCCATAGGCCGTGACCCATGACGACAAGCTCGACAGGACTCCCGGCTCCATTATCCCTATTTATTCCCAGACTCATCCTGGTTCCAGAACTGTTGCTGCCCACACTTGGTCTTCAGAAGAGCCCTGTCTCAATAGATCCCCCACCTGCGGTTGTTGCAGGGGGCTTTGTCCTCTATTTGTAATGGCCAGTGCTTTGGGCGAGTTTGGAAGTAGCAAACGTTCATGAAGTGACTTCCCTGAACCTGCCCAGGGCGCCAGGAAACATCCCCGTGAGAGGAGTCTGTCTTGGGCTTGTTATTGTTTCTTGCATTCTCTTGCTGTTATTCCCCAAATACAGGCAGACAGGGGCGCCGGTGGGCAGGGACGTGGGTTTCATACCCTTGGCTACTTGTGTTCTTTGAAGAAGATATTGGATGGGAGAGGTCCCTGTCCTCTTGTCCTTGTTGGCTTCACAACAGGCGAACAGCTCCAAGGAGGATTTTAATGAGTGGGGTTAGAGACTGGTCGCCCTGTCCTTGGAGTTTCTGATTAGGTAGGACGGGGGTGGGCTGAGACTGTGCATATCTAGGAAGTTCTGCGGCGAAATCGATGCTGCTGGTCTGGAGCCCACACCTGAGGGTGGCTTCCCTCAACACCTCCCTGGACACCTTGCATCCAGGAGATTGGCCATCCTACCTCCCAGGGGGGCGCTGGAGACTGGCACATGTATCTTTGTGATGTGATCAATTCCCTCTCATAACCGCTGTTTTTCTCTTGTTCCGATTAGGATTCCTATGCTCGCTATTTAAAATCTCCCATCTATAAGGAAATGCTGGCCAAAGCTATCGAACCTCAGGAAACCACCAAGAAAAGGCAAGTCGAGCTGCTTGTACTGCTGGCTGTCCACCAGAGGGGCCAGAGGGGCCAGGGTCCCTTCAGCCGAATGGCTACCACTGAGACATTGGCCTGGTGAAAATATGGGGGTCTGGGAAGGATTGTTCAGCCAAGGGGCACCTCGTTGGCTTCACGGTGCCCTGAAATCACTCTAGCAAGACTCCTTAGTAACGGCCTCCAGGAAGTTTCAGTTTCCTGAAGCTGGTGCAAAAGGAAACTGGTTCTGATTGGCACATCAGTAATGACCTTATCACCAGTGGCAACATCTCCCTGGCTTTTTTAATTGCTGTGCTTCTCCCCCTTCAAACGGACCCGTAGGAATTCACAAGCTTCATCCCTGGGTCTCTACCGTATGAACCTTAGAATAGCAAACTGTACCCCAAAAGAAGATGCTAGGCTGCTAGGGCAAACAAACAGTGACACTCCAGGTGTTCAGGGACTGCTTTCTAGAAGTCCATTAACTCATTTAATCTCACTTTCCGTATTGGAAACGAGGATCCTGTCATCTTGAACAGCCATCAGGATGTCGGGTGACATGGTGTTTTCCTGGGGGCAGATGGAACTCTTTATTGGGAAAAGATAGTCTACTCCTTGAAGATTCAAAAGAGCAAGGAAACGACAGATTGAGCAAAACCAGGGGACCCTGGCAGAGGTTTGCCAGAACCTCACCAGCCATGTGTGCTTCCAAACGTGGTTGGTAAATTCTCCTGCTTGTCCCTTCAGCTCACTCTGGGCCCTTTTCCAGCTCTTTGGTCCATTCAAAAGCAGGGGTCGTTGGGCCAGACTTAAGATCACAGGATCTTAAGAAAAAAGCACCCTGACTTGGTCTAATTCTTGAGGATAATGGCCCTGTTATGACTAAGAGGGAAAGGAGGGCTCTGTTGTGCTGTTCCAGGTTTACAAAGTAAGGAAAGGAGTTCAGAGCCCCTGGGGACTTGAAAGCGTCTCCTTGAAACCACAAGAAAGGGCCACAGTAGCTCCAGAAGTTCTGCCAGAAAGCAGTGAGGGAGGAGGGCAGCACCTCGTGCTTCTCCCTACAGATATTTTAAAAGTCAAGGCGCCCATGAGAATTCAGCTGGGATCCTTCCCCTGGCACAGCTGGGGCTTTGAGGGCCCGGGGAGCACCTGGCTCTGGCACAGGGTGTTGTGGTCTGGGAATGTTGTCGTCAACTGTTTCAAGTGAGAACCGCCTGTGAATGCTGTGGTCACCAAGAAGTTCAGCCTGCACCCAGGCAGGGATTGCAGTGGGCCTGAACTGGTTCCCTGATGTTGTCTTAAAACTTACTCTTTTCGGGATAAGACGAACCTCAGCTCCAAGCCTTCCCCCTGCAAGAGACCCAGTGTCAGGCTTCCTGTTAGGGGAGCTTCCACCTGCCTAGGGTAGACACCAGGGTTCTAAGGGCCTTTACAATCCCTGAGACTGAAACGCTTGTTTCCCAAGCCCGTGTGGCCTCAGGGACAGGTGTCTTATCCGCTTAGCTTTCCTGCATCACATGGACTCCTAGGTCCTCGTCTGGCTCCTAAGGGCCTGATGGAGAGTTCGGTCCATGTTTGGCTTCTGAAGACATTTCTGATTCATCCCAAGACCCTGTGCATGAGCAGACAACACCAGCCCACGCCCCGCCAGGGCCTTCCCTCTTTCTCTGCCCACTGGGACTCAGCCCTCTTGGACAGTCCAGCTCTTTTCTTCCTTCTCAGAGTCTTGACTTTTGAGGAGAAAAAAAGTGCCCCAACTCCTCCCTGAGGCTGAGACCCTTGGTTTTCCATTCCCCTAGCCCACCTTGCTTGCTGTTTTTACAGGAACATCTGACTACAGGATGTTCAGCTAACGCGTTGGTTTATGAATGTGTTGGAAAGTGTGTCTGCCATTTTTACCATCCACAGAGTCTTCCTGTGTCTCACCTAAAATCTGACAGCAGGTGATGATCACGCTGGTCCTGTCTTCCAAGTGGGGAGAAAAGAGCTAAGGTTGGCCGTGGCTCTGAGGACCCTACTTAAGGTTCACTGGGAAAATAAGGGAACATATCCAGATTCTGGCCTTCCAGCCACAACTCCCACCAAGTGTCGCTGGGCAAGCAGCGTGGTTTCCCACCAACCACCCATCTGTCCTTCCTTCCAGCTCCACCCTGCCGTTCATGAGGCGTCACCTGCGCTCCAGCCCGAGCCCGGTCATCCTGAGGCAGCTAGAAGAAGAAGCCAAAGCTCGAGAAGCAGCCAACACGGTGGACATCACCCAGGTCATGAGCAAACTAGACCGCCGGAGCCTACTCAAGAAGGAGGAGCCTCCCAAATAGACCTGTGAATCCAGGGGGCGTGGGGTGGGGCGTGCCCTCGGGAGAGGCAACCAAAGAAAGGTAGGGTCAGAGTCTAGAAGATTCTGCTCCTGGCAGTGTGGTCAACAAGCTTATCCCAGAGTCCCTTTCAGGGTGGACTTCCTAATACTAGAGTCACCAGAGCTTCTTGTTCTACTCTAGCTCACGAAGGGACTGGGTGGAGGGATCACCGGACTCAGTTGCCCACCTGTCTGACCTTGGGCAGTTCTTGTTGTGAGAACCATCGGGCAAACAGGCTGCTTTGTGTCCCACCATTAGCTTTGGGAAATTAAAGAGAAGGCTTCTCCCTACCCCCAGGGCATAGTTCTTTAAGGGACATTTATTTAAAATAGTTTTAAACAAAATGAAGCTCCTCAGGGACACCTGCTAGGACCCTTCTGTGGAGCTTGTTCTTAGCCACCGTTGCTGGAGGGTTAGTGAGCTCTCTTGTTCCTGACTCCCTATCCTCTTGTATGTGCTGTGTGGAGAGGTAGCTTGCAGGAATGAGGACTCAGGTTAAGCACAAGTGACATGGCTGTCTGAGGAGCATCTTTTCAGCTGAAGAACAAACGATCGGATGTCTTCATGGGTGGGTGGGTGGTGGACACCTGTGACATTTGCAAGATGAGTTAGGATCAAATACAATACTTGTTAGGGTATTTCTGGATGTTGATGCTTCCCTCCTCTCTAGCTATCAACTAGGCCAGTTCTGTGGTCAGGGCTGGAGGGATAGGACAGTTCAAACCTTGACCTTGTGAGCTTTAGAAGGTCATTCTTGGCAGTGAGGCTTACCCCATATACCTGTATGCAAAAGTGAGAATAAAGAAGAGAGTGAGGGACCAGCATCACACAGCAGGAACACTCACTTGTTCAACACATTTATTGAGCATCTACTGTGTGCGAGGCATTGGTGAACAAAAAAGACATTGTTCCTTTCAGGGAGCTTATAATCCAAGACTGATGAAAAGCAATTAAACTATCAGGTAGAAGCTGCTGTGTCCCAGCCAACAAGAAAACCGGAGTGGCATGCAATCATGTGCTTATTGTTCATGCACATGATCTGTGGCTGTCAGTTTTGGTTGGGTGGACGCGCTTGTCTGGCAGTTGGTCTTCAGTGGTCTAGGCTGGGATGAGGGGAATGAGTCTGCTCTGCTTCATTTGTCTCTCATTTTCCAATCACCTGGCCTAGGCATGAGCCCATGGCGCTGGCAGAGTTGCAAGGAAGCTAGTGGAAATATGGAAGGCTGCACATGGTCTCTTCCACCTCATTTTATGGGCCAAAGCAAGTCACAAAGCTAGTTTAGATTTAAGGGGTCGGGAACACACTCATAGCAAAAGTCAGAGTCTCATAGCAAAAGACACGGGTACAGGGAAGTGTCAAGAATTGGGCCATCATTGTAATCAATAGCACAAATATCTGATAAAAACCTGTAGAATGTATCATATAGGAATAGCCAGGGAGTTGTGATGAGCATTATGGGGTGTGTGCAGACTGTGCCTCCTTGAAGCAATCACAGGAAGAGGGGACTATGTGGGCCACGACCCAGAGGTGGGAAATGGCCAGTGAGGGGAGCCTGGTGGGCGAGGAGGACACAGTGCAGCACAAGGCGGGTGGGCGGGGGCAGGTCACTGTAGGCCCGTGTCAGGCATTCGTGGTCACTGGCCTGTTAGCAAGATGATTCCAACAACAAAAGGGGAGCTTATGCGTCCCAATTTCACTAGTCACAGGTCAGTTCACACTCCTAAAGAGCAGCTGAGGATATCCTTTGTTCATCTGTCTTTTGAGGAATGCTGGAGTCCCCATCCAGTGGTCACCCCCAGAAGAAATTTTAGGTAATGAACCATTATAAACTGAGAAGCATGAGAGGAGGGACGATGGTTGTCTTACCCCAGAACCTAACGTCTAAAACCTAACAGGTTCTGCCCAATATGTATTACATGGATGGATGGGTGGATGGACGGATGGATGGATGGATGGATGGGTAGGTGGATGGGTGGATGAGTGGATGAGTGGGTGGATGGGTAGATGGTTTAGAAAAGCCTTGGATTTGGAGAAAGCCTCCTAGGCTCTGTTCCTGGGTCTCATTGCTAGCCATGTGAACTTGAGCAAGTCACTGAAACTTTCTGCTCCCTCCTCCTTTGTGAAAGAGGGGATGGCACAAGATTTATGGTCAGAACAGATTTTATAAATTCCAAAGGGACACCATGACTGGGGCACTAATTTTACTTGAAGATTTGGAATAGGAGGAAAGTCAGGTAATTTTTAAAAATTTGCATTAAAACAATCTTGAATATATTATGAAATAGAATGCAAAATGTGCATGAATTTTTTAGGATAACATTTGAGACATCAAAGACATTTCCTGCTGGGCTGTGGCATGTTCAGGCTCTAGCCTGAGATGCCTGGGGGTGGTGGGGAGGTGGTGGGGAGGAGGTCTGTTCACCCAGCTCTCCTGCCATTTGGCCTAGTTTAGTGGGGAAGTTTAAGAAGCATGAAACTAGAGGATATATGCTGTCCTTTCCAGTTATTCCACATGAGCTGAGATCATATGCCTGGGAAAATGGTCAGGGTGGTGGAGGTATCGGGTAATTCTTCAGAGCACTGTGTTCTGTTCATCTTTGGTTCAACTCTCCACCATCCGATTCCCCATGTTTGGGCTTCACATATTTCTCATTCTCCAACAGATTACCATGTGCTCTGGGTCTGGCACTTGCTAGATTGTCCCCACATACCCACAGAAACCTACTCCATGTCACACACACAGGATCCACAATCTCATGAGAGGCACAGGCTTGTAAGCAAAACAGGTGATCATTCTTTACTAAATGAATGAAAAAATAAAGGTCTCATTACTCATGAAGGAAGGTTCAGGATCCACAGCTTCACCCCTGGATGGCAGCAATTATGTTCCACACATGTTTATTAAAGTCCACTTTTGTGTAAGCATGGGTGAAGGGTGCTAAGGGTAGATACAGCAATGGATAAGGTGGTATCTGCCCTTAAGGGGTTGATACAAAGCCTCTACCATAAGTCTGAGTAAGACTGAGATTGGGTGGAGGATGACACTGCAGAGGAGTCCAGAGTTGAGGGAGAATTTCTTGGCTTGGGAGATCAAGAGAGGCTTCCTGGAGGAGGAGGAGGAGTATCTTTAATAGGTGGAGCCTAGGCAGGGCTATGGCTGTTGTAGACACAGCTTGTGGGATTAGGAAAAGGTGTTCCCTTCAGATAGACATAGCCCCATAATATTTGGCTGGATTTCAGTCCTGGCTGGCCACTTAAGCAGGACACAGCTTGTATAACTATTTGGTGGCTCAGAGCACAGGGTCCATGAAGTGAGCCTGGAAGAGCAGGTTGAAGTTGTCCCATGGAAGGTCACAAGCGGAATGTGGACTCTCTTCTGTTGCCTGTGAGCTAGGTGGACGGGCCTTGGTCTTCAGACTAAAGCGGGATGTAGGAAGTAGGTCCTGGCAGCATCTAGTCCTTGAGAACCAGATGAAATCCATCTGGAGCCATTGAGGAAACTAGACTCAAAGATCAAATGGAATTTTCCAGGTAGAAAGCCGAGATCTATAGTTAATAATTATAATCTTCCAGAAAGACTTTGAGGCAACGTATAATGTGATAATACCATATGATGGAATTTCTGAAAAGATGAGTAGACAACCAATTTTTATCAGTAAGGCTGAGCAGGGTACCTTGGGAGACTGGGTTGTCACAACTGAACGTCACATTTTTTTTCAAGCATTAAGTTTTGTTCTGAGGTTTCTGATAACCACCAAACAAGAGACTGTGACATGGAACAAGGCATTCAGCCCTTCTTGACCAGATTCTTCTCACCCCCAGGTCCCAATAGGAAGTTGAAAATGTGCTTCTGGAAGGAGACTTTTAAGCCATTCCTTTAGGCATGAAGGATGCAGAACTGCACAAGACAGTCAAGTTTAATCTTATCAAATTTACTCTTAGTGAGAGACCCAGAGTGGATGGTAGGTCAGTGCTCCGAAGGCAAAGGGCGCTGGCTGGAGTAATTCTGAATCATGAAGAGGGAGTCGTGTTAGATGGAGTCCTTTACCAGGAAGTGATGGTTGAACATGTGAGCGTGGACAAGGACTCAGGGGAGAGGGTGGACAGGAAGAGAGAAGAAGGCTAACCAGGCAACTTGGAGGAAGTCACATTTTAAAGGTACAAGAGAATAAAGAGTCCAGAATGGATGGAGTGGGGTTAGAATGCGTCATGGAGAGGACGAGGAGCAGATGTGAGGGAGTGGTCAAGTTATGGCACAATACAATTGTTGGGCAGGGACAGTTGGGCCTCGTGAAACAGTGTGAGTCCTTCCACTTCCCAGCCTCCCCTGCGGCTGGTGGGGTCATGTGACCAGTGCTGGCCAATGGGCTGTGCAGAGGCCAAGAGCACGTGTTCCACCCCCACCCCACGCTCTGCTGTGGACCTGGAGACTACATCACCTTCAACATAGCACAGCAATAGACACAGGAGGCCTCCGTCTGTGTTAGACTCGGTGTGTGGGGGTTGGAGGCAGGGAGACCTCTATTGGAAAAAGTCACTGAGAGTTGGGAGCTACTGCAGCCTGGCCCTGCCTGTCCTGACCGATCCAGGAGCTGGATGTGTTGAAGGCTGGGAGGAGGCTGCTGGATCGAGTGGCTTGGAAATCACTGGGGATTTTTGAAGGGAGTGATTTTAGTGGAACAGTGAAGACAAATCCCAGGATGTGTTGAGGTGAAGAGGGAAGGTGGTGAATGCAGATCAGCATTTCAAGCAGTTTGGGATGAAGGTGAGGGCTGTAGTGGTAACCTAGATGGTGGAGGGTTGAGGGGAGGCCTTTGTAAAGACAGGGTGCAGAGGATGTGTTTGCCAGCTGAAGGGTGGATCTTGGGGAGGCGGGGAGGTAGGAAAAGAAATGATTGATAAG